AGTGTCTCCAGTTCCAATAGGCTCGATTATCGCCGCAAGGCCCAGCTTTAAGAGTGCAATATTCCTGCATTGTGTTTTTAGACTTCCGTTTTCCAATGGAAAGCAAGGATATACGACTGGACTCTAGTTAACAGTATTGGACAACCCGCCTCCCTTTGAACAGAATCTCAAGTTACATGGATAAATCACTTTCCAGTATATAAGTATTAGGGAAACCATTTGCAGTTTTGTTAGCGTGAATATCCTTTTGGTTTTTGCTTTTTATGAAGTATTTACCCCTCTGTTTCCTCATTGCTTACAGGCACAAGTTCCAAGTAAAATGCAAGGAGTAGATTATAAGGGTTCTGTCTCCGCAAGAAGGCGGACGAAAAGATCGGGTAAATATCATTGCAAGTGCTACGCGGCGTGTAGACTGCATACTGGCGGGAAGCCATTACAGAAAGAGTAATTAAAAAGTGAACTATTAGCGCACATGCATAAATGGCCTTATGTCTGCAACGTTTTTCTGAGACATAAGCTGCAAATTAACCTATAGGACTGACACCTTTATCGACCTTCCCCTTTAGCTTTCTCTTGTTGAGGCGATCTTTAAGGAGGTTCGAATCTTTCTGTTAAACCAGAATAATCCTTTCTCTTGTTTATATGTTAAAATGAATAACCCATTCCTTTCCTAATTTTTTTTACAACTAAACTGTACTCGACATTATGTTAGCATGCAGAGTCAGACATATGATGATAAAATTTTAATGTGATTAACGTGATCTACCATCATTCCCCACCCCTCACCACCCAACTGGGCTAACTAAGTTTACATATTTTTTTTTAATATTATACCATTTAACTATTTTGTATTTCCTTTTTCTTGTCTCTCTTAGTTGTTTATTGTATTTCAATTGGTAACACCAGGTACAAGAATGGTAGTACTGATTACTAAACTTGTTGTTATTTTTTCTCCGATCAGATGGTGACAACCAGCCGGCACGAAATCTAACGGCTGTTGTTGTTAACGCCAGCAGCATTGTTCTTACTTGGGAGAAACCACGTGGTGTTAAAAGTTCCAGTGAAATTAACGTAGGTGCTGCTTCGTTCAACAAGTTCTTGGATTTTCCACCCTTTTTTGCACGCCTACTCCCTGAAGGGACATGTTAGTCTCTGTGATTCGTTCTGTTCTGTTTCACAACACAGGCAACGTATTTAGGCCCGAAAGATGATATTCTAAACAACAGAGATTACACCCCCGGGAGGGGGGGGGGGTACTTGGGTATTTTTTGGGTGGGTATGTGCCGCCCGGGACTCCAAATTGGCCCCCCTTTCTAAAAAAATTTCCCCTAAAATTGATACCCCGTTCTAGAAATGGGCCAATTTTTTATACTCCGTTCTAGAAAGTTTGTATATTGAAGTAGCCCTGTTTTTTTAAAAAGACATTTCTTTATTTGTTCGACTTATAAATGCTTCTTCATAATCAGCAACAATTTTAAGCAGAAGATAAAGCCGTGATCCACAATTTTTGATACCCCGTTCTAGAAAACGCCTCTGAAATGGATACCCTGTTCTAAATCAGGAGCTTCAAAATCACGACCCCGTTGGGCGGCACATACCCGTATAGGTAATGTATGGGAGTACCCCCTCCCCCGGGCATTACACCCGATTTTAACTTAAGCTCAAAATGTTAGCGCACGTAGGTACCAGACGTGTACACAAAAAAACCTTGTCTTATACCCCTGTCAAATTTCTTGCGCGGGCTAAAAAAACAGTAGGTTCTTTCGATGTCGTTTTTATTTTTTCGTACAAATATAACGATCAGCTTTGCAGATTCCTATGCAAAAAAAAAAAAATAAAATAAAGTTTAAAACAGGTAGTTATGCCTACTCTATTGCATATTTCATTTTTAGCCACATGCTAATTGGCAGAGAGCCGTTCCAAAAAGGAAGATTATATTTGGTAAAAAATGTTTTCGCTATTATCTGGCCCTCCTAAAAGAGTAAAACTTTCCTTTTCGTTTACAGGGTACTACTTGTGTTAGTGTCTGGCTAGGTTGATTTCTTTTTTGGCTCAGTTTGTAAGCCAATTACACAGTTACGAACAAACTTTATTACATTTTAGGGCTACCAGATAACAATGAACGGCCCCGGGAATAAAAGCGAATATTCCATAGTCACCACGATGACAAGCCATACATACAGGTTTTTAAATTTTAGCACTCGGTACACTTTTGAGGTGCGGACAAGATTCAGCAAAGATAATTCTCTTGGTCCACCGGTTCATGTCATCAAAACAACAGATCCGTTTACTGCTCCTGTACGCCCTATGAAAGCAAGAGAACTCAGAAATGGTATCGCATTGTCTTGGTCTGCTCCTCGAACAGTCAATGCTAAGGCCGTTAAGGTAAAAATTTAGATTATACAGCGCCAATCGTTCGAAAGGCGGATTACACTATCCACTGGATGAATCTCTATCCAGTGGATAGCGTAACTGGTTATTTCCCTTATACTTATCAGTCCGCGGGATAGGGATTTATCCGGTGGATAGCGCTTACCACTCTACCCAGCACTTATAAGCCGTCGGACCAGTATCGCGGGGAGAGAAAATGTGAAACAGTTTTTGGGGCTAGGCAATCTAATTAAGAGAGTCTGTATAAGAATATAGTATAGTTACTCAGGTGATCAGGTGATTTTAGAGATTTGCGCGTTCTGACTGGTCGAGGATTGTGTCATTTGTGCTACACCCTGCGAGAGGTGAAAAGTGCGATCTCTGCTGACTTTCCACGAGAATGAGAACCAACTGTGTGAAGCGTCAAGAACAATGGAAAAAAATTCGATTTCGCAACCTTAAAGACGTCTCTCGTTTCGGGATAGGCCACCTCAAGGAAAGTTTTGAAAATATTTATTGTTTAATGGCATCGCACTTAAATGGAAACGCTAAAGTGAATGAGCAAAACATGCACAACAAATTAAGATAAACTCAAAGTTAGCAATCGTTTATTCTTTTGTCATGTTTAACAGACTAGCTTCACCAATTAGAATGAATTTACAGGAAAGATAAAACTAAAGAGCTGATGTATAAAGATCTTAAATCCTCTGCAGTTCTTCGTCAAATAACAGTTGACACGAAAAAAAGTGCAGCGTTGTCAACAGGAAAAGATCAAACAAAAAAGCAAAACCAGTAAAAAAAAACCTCAAGTTTTTATAAGACTGTTTCAACCAAAAAACACTAATTAAAACAGTTTTATAAAGCGAAGAGAAAATAGATTGTATTTGTCTCAAGTTCACACCGGAGCACAGTTTCTCATAAAAAAATCCATGCATTTCGATCGCATTGCTTCTCTGACCGTTGAAAGGGTAAACTTAAACTGTAAACCGACTGAGCAATTTGAACTTTGGGTTTCCCCTTTCTCTCTGATAATCACTTGACTAAATATAATATCAAAATATTTATTCACCTCAAGCTAAGTTAACGTAACTGCCCATGTTGATAATACCCTCATTATTCAACAATATTAGCTTCGCCTTCGGCGGATGAGAAAATTGTTAAATATAATCAGCTAGGACATCAAATGGGCATTTACTGAAGTTACACAATAATTACAAAAGTAGGGTATGAATGCCTAAAGTTGTATTAATCTTGTCTAAGTTAGGTGGCGTCTGGTCGGGTACAGGCTTTTCAATTTGTTAAATGAGTACTGAAACAACTCTTAGTCTTTCCCGTTTTGTGAAAGTCACCTTGCTATTTTCTCTTTCTATTTCCTTAGCGTTACATGGTCTCCTGGAAATGTACAGGCCGATGCCACGGAAATGGCCATCAAACCTTTTTTGGAACGAACTGCACAATCCTTAACTTGCGACGGGAACAAAGATATCTATTTTCTGTTAACGCAGTAACAGACTTTGGTACTGGAGAGACCTCCACGATCTCAATACTAATAAGTCTATTTTTTGCTCAAGTCCGTAATTTGCGAGCGAGTATTGATGATAATTACAACATGGCGATCACGTGGGATCGACCCAATAATTTTGACAAAGACGATATTAAGGTACCTCCAAATACTTAATTTAATCTCAGAAAGCGGTGTAACATTTTGCAAGGCTTTTTTACTTAGAGAATGGGAGAGGCGCAAACAAAGCCACAGACATGGAACTTGAATTTATTCCTGGTCAATCTAATGCGACCACAACTGGCTGATCAGTGCCACAAACTTTCCATCAAGAGTTGCAGAGAGATGCTGGCCAATTTGCATGCAGAGTCTGAAATTTTTTTTCAGGTTCGAAAAAATCGCTACAATGCATTGAACCGACGTTCGTTAAAGGCTTCCAATGGTGCCTTAAAAGAAGTGCGAGAAATGTTTATCTAGGAGAATGTTTATTACTCTAGGTAGTCGCGAAATAATTGTGAAGAAGGTTGCACAATTAATAGAAGCGCTACTCTCTCTTCAGACCTCAGCAAAATAAGCCGTGTAGAGGGGCCTCTTGCACAGTCATTTTATGGTTGCTTTTTATAGTGTTTAAAATACTTCTACTTACGAATCGTAGCCAATAGGTTTGTTAAGATATGTTTAATATTTTCAAAATAATTTATTTGAGAAGTAGTCAGACTTTTAATATCTTATTTTATCAACCGTATGGGGTAAGGTAAAGGCGCACACGAACTAAAGGCTCAAACGGCCGGAGCTTATCCCGGTTTCCTTAGCATGAAGCATGCCTAGGAGTATTGATACTCCCCCCGGGACGGAAAGCTAGTCCATCAAGGGTGTATCAGTCTATAAACTTGTGCAAATTCGATAACGAAACAAAATATTTGTTTGCTTCGATGAGTCAGCAGTAAAAGCAGTTGTAAGATTTGCACGCGGGTCTCATAAGATTGTTACACGAACACCCAACAGAAAATAGCACGACCATCTAGATCTAAACAACGAGTAGGACCAAAGTGAAAATTTATTTTGGACGATTTTCTGAGGGTGTAATTTTCTGCATCGTCCAGAAAGTCCTGACACATCTGGTACCTTCATGCAAGGGTCCAGAGCGGCCCAACTTCTGACAATAGAGCTAAAATACAAAGTAAAGGGGGAGAGGAATGGTGAAACAAGGTGTACGTTTTACTCTATTACAAGTGAGAATGTAAACTTTGATCTTTTACAGTATTACGTTGTGCAATGGTGTAAATCTTATATTAATTACTTACAATACTGCTACATGGATGACGAACACAGTATCCATGTCAACGAGAGAAACTTCACGGTGGACGGCGTTTTGGCCAGCAGTACGTACAAAATAATTGCCTATGCTGTAACAGCTGATGGTTCTGGTCAAAAATCAATAATTCCAAAGACAGTGCCACCGCTAAATCTAAAAGTGAGCTACGCTTACTCTTACATGAGTGGGGCGAGGTATGGATTGCAAGTGTACTTGTCCTGGAACAGTGTGCACGCCAGCGAACCAGTGGTGAGTAATAAACATCTATGTATTTTCTATATAATTTTACCCTCGATAACTCGAACTTTTTTCTATTCACTGTCTATTTCCCTTGAAGGTTCGAATTATCGCGAGTCGACCATCGACTGTAAACAAATTGTGATATCTGGACCTTGATAATTCCAGAAATCACAGAAACCTAATATAATAACTTTTTCATTAAAAAGTACAGTATAAAATTTACATTGTTTTTAAGAAAATTGTAATGACAAATACACCATCGCACGGAACACAGTTCGACATTGCTACGTACGGAACACAGTTCGACATTGCTTTTGGAACTATGCATTGCGCTCACAACCTACAGATTAGTCGGTAATCTGCCAGCAGATAACTAACTAATTTGTAGGCTGCGCTGATTTGCAAAATCAACGGCAGGTTTCTTAACAATAGGCTCATGAGTCAGTGTCCAAATGTAGATAGATGTTTAAGAGTTAGACTAGCCTCTTGAGTGCTCCTAAACTTCCTAAGTGCTTCATATCTCGACCAGTACGGATAGATAGAGCATGAACTAATTGTTTTACAACGTTTTCAATGCGACCAATTTTATGTTAACTACTGCATAACACCAGCCTGAGTCACAGACGAAATTGGTTTTGTTCACAACCCTTCCCCCCTCCCCCCGGAGAAATACAAAAATAATGCGGATATTGTTAAAACAGATAGGTGGTATTTCACTTGAGCTCACTGACCATGTCCTTTCTTTGGCAGCGATACGAGTTGAGATGGAGATGTTTATACCGTTACCTCTGTGATTACTGGCACACACGCGTCGTTAACTCAACCTTTTCATTGGTTAATGTTAGACACTATGATACTTCGTACGAGTTTGGGATCACCGTCCTCACATCACATGGCAGAGGTACCCCCTACCAACTGTCACAATTTGTTCCACCAATAAATGGAATGCCCAGAGATTTTTACTGTCAGGTTACAGCAGATAACACTGTTCTTACCTGCCACTGGACCCCACCCACAGATTTTGATCCAGATGCAGCTGAATTCAATGTAAGTAGCAATTAGAGAAATAATGTTAACTTTTTTTTATGATTTCGCACGCCAAGTGAAAAATATTCTTTCAAAAAAAAAGGAAACACAATTTGAGTTGAGGCGGAAAACATCAAAGTGGTAATTTTAAACTTTACAGTCAAAGACGCGCTTCGGATGGGGTAGAGTGACATAGTTTAAACGAATGCTTGCCAACTCCGACATGATTTCTTTTAATTACTGTAAAACTGACCTTTAGATGGTCTTTTTAGGGGTACTATGACAGCACACTAAAACATTTGTGTAAGGTAGTGTCTGAAATTTTTGAGGGGAGGGGGTGGTAAGCTGGGGAACGGTACAAGGAGGGGTGATGTGGTGTATCCTTTTCATGCTCCTTTATCACCCATCCTTGCAAACTGTTTCCTTTCTTTCTTTTCAGTACTACTGGCTTAAGTACAGGTGTAATGAATGTCAGACGTACAGTTACAAACAAATTTATCGCCTCAGTACAACTTCTACTCGTATATCTGTGAGCAGGGGAAAGCGGTGGACGGTAATGTTGCAGGTTCGCACGAGGTATGGAGATGGTGAATGGGCAAAAACAACTGTGGTTGCATGTTCATTGGTTGTAATGAGACCAGTTACAGACTTGGAAGCACGATTAGATGCACATAATAAGACCCTTGTCAGTCATCTTACCTGGAAAGCTCCGCACGATATCAGGAATCTTCAGGTAAAAAAAAAAAAAACACCAACACCAACAACTGAAAATGAAAAACCTTGTAATGAACGTAAATTGAATATGTATTCGGTAAAAGAAAAAAGATTGCCACAACTGGTAGCGATAGTTAGACTGTCGTGGAAACCGTACATACCATAAATTGACACCGCCCTTTATCTCGTCATCTGGAACAGTGACATATCCGCTCAGACTGTCTGCCTTTAGTATGTATATGGCGGGAAATTCGTTACTCTTTTTTTATTATAAGGTTGTATTAACAAGTACAGTGGAACTGGCTCGATATAGCTGGGAAGGGCCAAGGGACTGGTACTGAGATGTTGTTCCTCAAGGTGACCGTTGTGGAGAGGTTCAATTAATAGAATTTGCTCAGATCAGATATTAAGAACTGTTCCAAGAAAAGTTGGAATGCCGGATCTCGTTGTCGCTTTCAAGAAAAAGTGGGCCAAAGCCGTCCATGCTGAGAGACTGACAAAGTTTCCACTATTCACTAGAATCTTTAAGTAAGTTGGGAGGAAGGGAGGGCGCTCATTCAGTTCCTAAAATAAGACGGGGTACCGGCCTCTAAAATATTTACATTTTTTGCCCCACGGGCCTCAGTTTGCTCTAAAAATATGCTGGGATCTGGGAGTTAATTAGCCTTTAGGGAAGGACCATTATTTTTTTGACGGGGGAGGAGGATGGGAAAATTTTGAAATGAAGACTATAAACACGGGAATAAATTGTATGAAAGTAAAACAAAAAGTATTTGCAGGAAGACAGAGACACACGCAAAAATATTGTTTGCAGCAGGAGCCGCATATAACGCTTCCCCTTCCCCGTCCAAAAATAATGGTCCGTCCCTTAATAATTACTTCTCTTCTTTTGTATTTTGGTCAGAATTACTTGGTAATTACAGAATGTGAAGGCGACTGCATTGCTAGTGCGACTAGGCGCGTTACATTACGGCCAAGTCTGGACCTGAATCTCTGTTGTGGTAACAATTATACCTTTACCGTTAAAATACAAAGCACATGTGGAACTGGTCCAGGCAGTAACATTTCTGTCTCTATGAAACCTCCAGCTGGTGCTGTAACTAATCTGACAATCAGGTTTATTGCTGGAAGCAGTCGCATAGAGGATGCCTTTCTGCTGAGATGGAATCTACCCAAACAAACAAACACTACTAGCATTGAGGTAATAATAATAAAATAATAATAATAATAATAAATATTTATATAGCGCCTATACTTTTCAGTGTTAAGAGCTTTACAATGGTTCAAAAAGGTAACAGATTACGCGCTTAGATACCGTTCACCAAGTCCCGGTTGTTCAAACGATGGATAGCGCTATCCACCCGATAAATTTTTATCCAGCGGATAACACAATTATTTCCGGTAATACTTATCCGCTGGACACTAGTTTATCCGGTGGATACTGCTATCCAACGTTTGAACAGCGGAGGCCATGGGTCCAAACCTTCCGCCTCCCACACCTTTCATTCCCAGCTCCTGCTCCTTTTTTCTTAGCTTCCTCCCATCCGGGAAATATTAAACATCGTTGCGTCATTACTTCCGCTTTCTACCCTTTTCAGAACTTCCATCTTCTGCCCTTTCCTCGGCCGGCCTCCAGTAACCCTCCCACCTTATGTCCTCCCCCACAATAAACATTTCTCGTTTCCATACAGATCGTAGCTAAAAATGGTCTATTGTACCCGCTCATCTCTAGGTGATGCGACCGAAACCACACCAAACAGTTTGCGCATAATAGCTAAATTTTCAGCGTGACATTTTCGGGTCCGCGAAATTGGGAAAGCGGAAACACGAAAACAAATTGGAAGATCACATGCTCATATTTTCGAGTGCCTCACACTTACGCGTCATCCCTACTATCTGAAAGCCTGGAACAGGCTAGCGTTTAACGTGATGTCATCCGGATCACACAGGAGTGAATACCCCAATCGACTGCACATGCTTCTCTTGCTTCTGACCTTACATCCGAAAAAGTTTGGCTTTTCCCGCTGTTGTAGAGAGTAGCGTGCTGGCTTGCAAAATCTCGCCAACAATTACTGGCTAGCACTGTATTGTTGCCCACCAAAAATAGCCTATGACAGCTTCTTTATTTTTCAAGCAGTGGCAACATGATCAGTTACAGCGTTTGTTTTACTCTGAACGATATCATTTTTAGTTCTGTCAGATCACAATGTGGGCCAAGAATACAGGACAGATTGCTCACATCATCCGGACTGACGGAAATTCAAGCCATCGGATTATATTCCGAAAGAACCACGAGGAGCTGTTTAGACAAGGCCAGTATTACGTTTTCCAAGTTCGTTGTAAAACATTGTGTGGTTACGGACCAAGCAACTCTGGCACGGGATTTTACCCAGGTGCGTTCTTCTTCATTTGCCAGCGTGGTGGCCTAAGCCTTCTCTCTTGCCCGCTGTCCGCTTGAAGTCTGAGAAAGGGAGCGAGTCTTTCTCGGTGATGTCAAAGCTCACAGTAGAGTCAATTTACCACTCCAAACAATACCATAACATACCGTAATGCTCTTTGTTTGTCACCCCAAAAATTTTGCATAAGCATTGTCTTCAGTTTCTCTTGTTAGTTAAAATGGCCCCAAGAAAAACTGAAAACAATGCTTATGCAAAATTTTGGGGTGACAGACAAAGATCATTATGGTATGTTCTGGTATTTTCTGGAGTGGTCAATTCAGTTGACTCTGCTGGGAGCTGGGAGCTGTTTTAATATTCAGGGTGGTGATTTTCAACCTGGTTCCCAGGGTCTCTCGTCTTCTTGTTCCCTTTTGGCGAGATAAAAGACCCTGGAAACGAGATTGGGTGCTGTGTGCGGTCCTGTTTTTGGTCCAAAAAACTACGTGAAAACTGATTTGATTTAAGAGAAGGCTCAAGATAAAAAGCTAAAGTTTACTTGCAAGTAACTGATGCGCAACCCTGAGCCATCAAGACTTTGTACAGTAAGGGAAAGTTCATTTAATATGACAAGGGGGGGGATGAAGATATTGAAACTCGAAGCTTGAAATTTTAGCAGCCCCCCTCGCTAGCGGTTCAATTTTTTAGGGGCCCCCTCCTTGGTAGTCGAAAAAATTTCAGAGCCCCCCCTCCTCCTTCAATTCCTTTGCTCCCTGAAAAAGATCGCTAGACTGTATTAAATATATTTACCATTATTGTCTTCAATGGTTTATACAATGACAAACTTGAGATACAGTTGTGATACAATTTTCTAAAGCATTTTTGGGATGAACAAGAGTGTAATAATTACTGAGACTACATTTGTTATATCTGTAAACCACGTGATATAGCTGAGTTGCACAGGTCATTAAATTGTTGAGTTGAAAACCATCCGATCTGTATGATGATGTCATGTGTTGGTTTTGAAGTATACAAAATTTCGGAGCCCCCCCTCCTAGCGCAACAATTTTTTCAGAGCCCCCCCTTCGGGTGTCTAAAATTTTCGCCCCCCCTCAATATCTTCATCCCCCCCCTTGTCATATTAAATGAACTTTTCCTAACTGTGTACTTTTATCCAAGATTTGAATTTCGCTAACCATACCGCTCTTTGTTTTCTTAGAATTTACGTCGTCCTCAACTCCGTTCTCACCGCTACCTTCCACTGTCGTAACGTATCCTACAGCTGCTTCTGTTAAACCAACCAAATCAGCTTTGTATCAGTCACCATCCCTAGCGCTACCTTCTGCTGTCATTACGTATCCAACGGCTGCATCTACAACATTGCCAGCTTACTCGGCGTCTGTTTCGCCTACAGAATCATCTTTGTACCACTCATTGACTCCAGTGTTATCTTACGCTGTCATCACGTATCCAACAGCCGGATATAGTACAACATTGCCGTCTTACTCTGCGTCTGTTACGCCTACAGAATCGCCTTTGTACCACTCACTGACTCCGGTGCGATCTTCCGCTGTCATCACGTATCCAAAAGCCGCATATACAACATTGCCATCTTACTCTGCGTCTGTTGCGCATGCCCAATCACTTTTGTACCTTTCGCCAACTTCTTATGCCACACTAGCAATGGTGACGTGTACTTCATCAACGATAAAACCGTTTTCGGCATCTCCCCAGCCTGCCCGCAGCCACCACAAGCATAAACGGTTTCCGTATTGGGCAATAGCAACAACGGCCGCTGTTGGTGCAATCGTTGTTTCGTTAGTCGTTTACATTGTTCGTAAAAGGTGTAAGAAAGGCAGACGCAGTATGCTAAATTTCCTTCAAGCTGATTATTCTCAAGATATTCAGGAAAACATCGATGAAGGTATATCAATATATAAGAGTCCAAATCGCATGGCTAAAACAATGAATTTTTGTTTCCTTTCAGGGGTTGATTTCAAAACAGTTGTTGGTCAACTCAAGGAATGGTATATCAGTGTCAGACCTTGTCGCGTCTGTTCAAAACGTATTTAAATGTTGCTTCCTTCCTTGCTTTGATGACTTACTTTGTTTTTCTTAATTTGGAGCTAATTTGCTGTGACAAAGTTATACTGTAAATAATGATAATGTATTCCTATACGTAAATTGTCGAACAAGATCTCCTCTTTGTATCAAGCGGCGCCTGCCCCCTCCTGCTCTTTCAGTCGCGAGGCTCGAGACAACACAGCATTGATCATGTTTTGTCGCTTGTGAGGCTTTTTTTCACTGTCACCGATTATTATTTCTGTTCACTTCAATAATGTAACTTAGTAAACAATTTTCGGATCCATTTATTGTTATCGTTCCTTAGAGGGCAAAATATCTTGCGTCAAATTAAAGAAGCGCTTTCCGGACGAACAAGAGCTCATTGCCTAAGCCCCCGACGCCCAGGATGATCAGATCATGAGGACTATAATCAGAGAATTTACGATAAACAAGTTTGCTTTTTGATGTGCACCGGAGTGTTATCTTGGTTGGTTGTAACAGAAACGTTCAGTTCATTGGCCTCGACACATAGTGATATTTATATATTTGTTTCTAATTGCAGAAAACATGCCATTGTTGTTGGAAAACTTCACTGATGATGACACAGTCCTCATCCAGGCGTAGACCCTGCCGTTCAACTGAAGGAGATATGTCACTGGGTTTCTGCCATCTTTTTAAAAAGCTAAAAAACTTGTCTTCTTATAAGTCTAAATTCTAAACTAATTGTGCACTTTGTCATTGAAGACTATATATATATTTAGGCGTTGAAATAAAATAAAAAACTGTTTTCTGTCGTGTGTTGCAACGAATGGCAAGGATGGGAATGGATTGAAACTTTGAAACTACGAGCCAACTTTTTTAAGTTTAAATGCTAGGCTTGCAAAAATCGCACCAGAAACGCATTGTTTAGTGCTCTCTGATGAAATTTGGTTGGTTTCTTCTACACATCTCTGACAGAGCATTTTGTGTATGGGTGTAAACTAAAGGGAACACAATTCAGTCGACTCTCTCTTAACGGACACCTCTTTAAGACGGACACCTAGAGTTGGTCCCTGCCTTTGCTTACTGCCTTTATTTGACTCTTTATAAGACGGATACCTCTCTAAGACGGACACTTAGTGCCGGTCCCAAAGGTATCCGTCTTAGAGAGAGCTGACTGTAATGACTTCAGCACAGAATTGACCTGAAACAGCAATATCAACGTGGCATACCCGGGCCCCTTTAACTAACAGGCGTCGTTACTCGGCACAGCAAGGTCTTTTTGCTGTGATATAAGAGAGATTAAGCATCGCGTTTACGGCAAACAGCAAACGGGATCATATTCAAGCAGTATTTGAGAAATTTTCAAAATGAGTAATGAGCAGATAATAACGGCTTAAAACAATTCTTATGGATAGAATTGGCGTCAATCTACCGATTTTCGTTCGGTTAAACGACAAGTAGATGGAAAACTTGATCACGTGGTACAAATTTACGTTTGCCGTTTGCCGTAAACGCGAGCCTCGGAATCTGTCTATGGTTGGCCTGTTCTAGGCTCTTAATCGGGAACAATGAAAATGGAAAGCTGAAAAAAGGGAGGGGATTCAGGGAAATAGGCTGGTAGCAATCTTTCTCCAATTCTAGCTTGCCAAGTAAGATCAGATGTAACATCTTTAATGCATTAAAATGTAATATTGTAAGCTTTCGTGGGAGCCATTTTCTAAGAAGAAGTAAAGGAACATACCGATGTATTAAAGGATCTTCTTAGCAGCTGAAAACTGTCCATGTATTTTCTGATAAAAACTTTAAATTTTGCGGGGGAAAAAAGAGAAAGAAACTGGAAATATATTTGATTTATAAGAAGAGTAAGTGGTTGGACCTCGGGGCAGGGCCTCCCGGTATAAAACTTTTTTGAGTACAAGCCCAACCCCCAAGCCCCCCCTACCCCCAGAATTAGCCTGCAGAACCGTGAGGCAATATGTGTTTTTGCGTTTTTGAAGCGAGAGTAGGCAACTGCGATCGTCTGTTCAGACGTTGAGCAGGCTATTTTTCAACATATAAGTGTCGACTGTTTCCTTCCACTTAGTCGGGTTTTTGGTTTAACAGCAACAACGGAGTCAGGACAAAACTCAGGTCGTAAAGAGAACAAGCTCAAGTCTATGTACCATCTTCAGAGGCACCCAACGTCAATTTTCGGAAAATATCTGTTCGGAAGACGATTTGAGATCTAGAATTTTCGGAACATTTGTTGTAAAATTTCTTGCTTGCCTGCCTCTCCTAGGATTTTCGAACATCTAAAAAATGGTATACTTGCCCATTTTTAACGGATTTTTACCCTAAAAAGAACACCTAGAATTTTCGGGAGCCTTTTACCTGGCTGACATTTTCGAAAAGGTAAGTTTTGATCCTTATAATTTTCGGATCACTAGACTTTCACCTAGGATATCCGAACAGAGGAAAAATTTTTAGGGGATAAAAATATGCCAATATCTACCGTTTAAATACTAAAATACGTTTGACAATGCTACGTTTAAGAGGTTTTGAACTATATTCTCGTTGGGTGCCCCTGCATCTTATGACAGACTCTATGAAGACTAAAGACTTGACTGTTTATTCGCTACATGATGGTAGCAATTATATGTGATTAAATGTATAAAAGGATGCATTTGGTTTCCTTTCTAGTTAACACCCTACATTTAATACACTTTGCGCAGAATTGAATATTCCGCCGATCACTCAAGTGCAGTCAGGGGAACTAGGCGTCTCATATAGATTTCGGATATGAGCAGTAGTATCAACTAGAATGTATACATGGAAAGTATCACTGGCGGAAAGCATGTCATGTAGTACGTAAGTACTGTAATTGACGTATTACAAAATGCCTGAAAAGCCTCTATTCAAAGAGCTCTCTTAACATCATCATCATCATCATCATCATCATCTGCATCATCAAAGGAAAAAGTTATGAGAATTGATAAGATGATCACCAAAGCGAAAATGCTTTGTTCTATGACCTTATTCTCTAAGGAAAAGTATAGAGATCAATTCGGAAAATCGTAAGTGGTTATTAGGGCTTTTATAAAAAGGGTTGACTCTCAACCCTTACGTGAGCTACTCTTGAGGCATCGCTCGTCATTCCAGGGTTTCCGCATAATTACGGCCCTAATTCCAGCTCTAATTCCTTAATGCCAGACGGGGTTTTGAAACCAAATGTTTCCTAAGCATCAAACTTTCAGAGAGGAATTTGACGAGACTGATTCAGAAGAGGCCTTCTGTCCCTCATTGGGTGCGAGTTTCAGAAAAGTCTTTTTAAAAGACCTAAATCATCGTCAGTAAACTATAAATACTCAGATGCCACCTGGGCTGCATCCATCTTATAATAACTTTAGCTTTCTTTTACGTACACTACAATGCTTTTAATACTTGCACGGGAAATTATTAATATTCGTGCAGGGAAACAAGTTTCCTTATGATTGGATAGGAACTCAACTGAATAATATTTACCTTGACTTTTTTCGCATTACTCAGCATCTAACGATCAATAAATCGTTAGCAAGTAGTTAGTAACCAGGGACCAATATAGCTGTAATGATTGTGTATTCAGTTATAAAGATACAGTCAGAGAAAATGTATATATTTTATGTTGTTGTTGTTATTTTCTGATTTCAATTTAAAACAACGTTTAGCTGTTTTTGATTCTCTTCTTTATTTTTAATTCCCGCGGTAAAATGGTGGTAAATTTTACGAATTAAATTTCGTAGCTACAAACAATGTTCCGCTTAAAGGTTTCAGTGATTTGGGGTCAACCGCGTACTGGTCTGACGTCACAAGGCTTTTGTACGATATCGCATATAGCGGCCACACACCGTAACGGTTTGTAAGTCTTCCACGTGCACGAGTCAAGAATGAAAACCCTTGCGATTATTTTTGCCTTCTTTCTGGCTTTTTCGCTGATTGAAATGAGAAATGCACTTCCAACAAATGGGTTGGAAGATTCAAAAAGGGGGCAAATTGTTTCGCGGGGACATTTGCCAATCTTTCGTGAAGCTCGAGCTAATTTAAGGCAACAAACAACAAGTAACACGGAAGACATGTCTGGTTTAAATGCTGGAGCTCGGTATGTCACCACCCTGTTTCACGGCAGAGTTAGCCGTGAAACAAATCTAAGAAAGTTTCCAAAGGTGCTGTCCAAGGTGAGCTTTTTGCCATTGTTTGATCCATTTCTTCTGATAGTACGAGGAAAACAGTGAACCGTGATCTGCTTCTAATTCTTGCCTCATCACTCAGTTCTGCACTAATAAGTTTCCTTGACACGTTTCTCTTGTAGTCTGGAAGCATAGTTTTCAAATCTTTCCGTTTGCTTGAATTTAGAAAGATATCAAAGAAATCCTTTTTAATAAGCTGTGTGGCACAACTCTTGTTTTCATATAGTTGAGTTCTTTTTATCGATGCGGCATTCTAGGTAAAAAAATTCGTATTTGTATCCTTAATGAACGCGTTTTGCTTGTAGTTTGGGTAACATCGCCGCCATATTGATTTAGTGGAGGGAAAGCTAGTACCGTACTGCAAAAACGGTTAAACAGCGGTCTTTCCGTATATTTTCAGTTCCCCATTAAGTTACTTGAGGCTGAGTTAATAGTCTACTACAGTTACACCCAATATCTATGAAGGCCCGTGTAACCAGACCCATCCCTAAGACCAAGCCCAAGACGAAGCCACGTTGACGGATTTTGGCGGTGGCTCTCTGTTTTGCTGATCGATTTTTACTTATCACAGCCAGGCCAAACTGACACTCTAACCTTCTTCTTTCTCTTAAAGAACACTGCTATATGTACTGTTCCAGTAAAGCACTAGCCCTAAAATTAAAGCCCTTATTGACATTCTTGTAATTACAACGATGAGTTAGTCTGGTCAATCTCCCTATTACTGAAACTTTAAGGTCTGAGCTCTCAAGAAAGTTTTCAGTCAAGGCTGTGAGATGGTATTTCTTTGCAAAATGCCGGGATCATCACTGAATAGTCTTTAATTTAAGGGTGCGTTAATATCATGCACCCGTTAATTGAATACTTCAGCATGTCCCTGCCCTCTCCAAATCTGCAAACACAGACGTATTTCCTGTTGTCGCTTTTCTTTCTCAAGCGTAGAGAAGTACCTTTGTGTTCACAGGGGACCCATCTCCCGGCGTTTGATCTTTGTTCACTTAATATACCTACATGTGTTCCCTGGGCCGCCGAAATTGTTCGTGTTCTTATGAAATCGGACTCCTTGGTCACAGTGATCCAATTCTATAACAGCCAGAAAACTTCACAGATATAATGCAAATACTCTTTTGCTTAAGCAAAACTCTTTGTCTTGTAGTTTAGGTTAAGTGATCACAACTCATCAAGAGGCGGAAGTTGGTTGACTATCCATTAAGTGGTATATATTGAAAACCAAATATTAACAAGGCGGTCACTCAGGATGCGGCTAGTATAATTAAACATCTGGATGTTCATCACCGGAAAAAAAACTCACAAAAATAAAAAGGAATCATTTTTTGGTTAGACTGACCTCATTTTAAGCCTGTAGAAAATACAATCAATTATGTGCTACGATTTTTGCATGAACGCTAGCTAACATAAAATACACGTGAAAACTGATTATTT